TAGTCCTGGGGGGTGAAGGGCTGGATGGATTGTTGCTGGGCGCTCGTGGAAAACAGAGGCTGGGGGAGGACAGGGGGACATCAGCCGGGCAGGGCACCCCGGTGTCCCATCWGGGCACCCCAACACCCACCCTCACATCCTCACCTCGTACCCCCCCAGCTTGAGGGTGACRGTGACATCGATGGGGTGGTTGACAATGCCCACCACGGAGCGCACCAGGGACATGAAGAGCAGCGGGAACCAGATGATGCCCACGAGGAAGAGGATTATGAGGCCACCCATGCCRTACTTCACCACCTTCTTCTTCTTCTGCCCCTTGGGCTGGGGGTATTTCTGGGGAAGGGGGAGAGAGCACAGGGTGTAGGGTGGGCTTGGGGGGACCCTAAAAAACGAGGGGTTTACTGAGGGGCCTTTCCTGCCATAGGGGTTGTACCTTCTCAGTCTCCCGGCTGCACTTGATGATGAAGATGTTGGCGTAGATGTCCTCCACACACATCCAGTTGGAGAGGGACAGCGTGGTGTCCGTCCACACCCAGTCCATGACAGCCCGCAGCTCCACCAGGAAGGGCACGAGGCGGAACCTGGGGGAACACGGGGAAAGGGGGTGGTACAGTGCCCTCGGGGTGCCCACGGGTCCCCACAGCCCCGTGCCCTACCCCTGGAAGAGGAAGAGGTTGAGGTGGTTGTATTTCTTGGTGAGGAAGTTGCCCAGGATGCGGGTGGGGTAGCCACAGCGGATCTGGTAGGCCGACAGGGTGAAGTAGATGCACTTGATGAAGTACCACAGCTGGGCCACYGTGTTGAGGCTGAAGAGCCTGCAGAGGGGACAGGTCACCCTTCAGCYGCCAGCCTGGGCCACCACGTGGGCTCAGGGACACACAGGTGCCACGCAAGGACCATGCTGTGCCACAGTGGGGGATCCTTCGGGACACACCTCTGSGTGACGGCCGGCAGGATGATGAACATCCAGAAGTGGATGCCGAAGACCAGGATGACCTGGAAGATGAGCTTGCCCAGCACGGTCTTGCGGAGGTAGAGCGCGCGGTCGATGACCATGGTGCTGAACTGGAAGAGCAGCATGACCAGGAAAGCCTCGGGCACTTGGTTTTCTGACAGCGAGGAGGTGATGTCGGTGGCCGCCGTGTATTTCTGGGGTGCAGGAGAGGTCAGGATGCGGCCCAGCCTCACCCCGTGGTGGGGGCTGGCCAGCCAGGGCTCTGTGGGACCCTCTGCTCACCCCAAAGGCCCAGAAGCCGAAGATGATGATGATGAAGTCGACCACGTCCGCCAGGAACATGTAGGCATAGACATCGGTGGCGGCGCGGCTCTCCAGGTACAGAATGTTCCAGAAGAAACTGTGCACTGGCCGGTATATGCTGTGTGCCCTGCAGGGACAGGGGGCACAGAGAGCACAGGTGACTGGCAATGCACCCCACAGCCCCCAGCCCAACCAACCCCACCGGGACTCACGTGGAGAGCAAGAGCCTCTTGACCCGCAACCCTAACACCTTCAGCTTCTTCTCAGTTTGGCTCTCCTCTGACACTTCCTCCTCTTCCTCCGCCTCCGCCTGCTCCTCCTCAACCCCTTGAAATGAGGCACAGTGTGGGTGACAGCCAGGGYCCTGCAGGGCCACATCCTGCCCGACCCCAGCACCCAGGGGTGCCAGCCTTGCTCCTCACCAGGGCGTGAGAAGAAGTGTTCCAGAGAACTGGTGCTCACCTTCCCCTGGAGCCACCTCCTGYGTCTTCCTTTTCCTCAAGCGGAGCCACATGGTCCCGGCTCCCTCTTCCTGCTCCACGGAATCGCTCTCCGACCCCRTGGCTGCTCCTGSCTGGGGWGGAGCCTCTGGCCCTTCCTCAGYCGCTGCCAGCGATGGSGACGCCGCTTCCTCCTGCTTCTCYTCCTCTTCCTTGTCCTCTGCTCGCTTCTCCGTCTTGTCGTGGTCCCACAGCCCGAAGGACTGCAGAGGGGTGTGGTCAAGGGGACAGGGTCCTGCTGCCCCCCAGCCCCACACACCTCACTCCCCATCCCACAGTATTCAACTCCCAACCAACACCAGAGGGAAATCACAGCAGAGCCACCCAGCACCCACCGGAGCCCCCAGGAGCAGCTCCAGCTCCCCCTCAGCACCCATCCCCAGCCCAGGGCTCACCAGCAGCAGGGAGCGATGGAAGAAGAGGGCCAGGAGCAGCAGCAGGTCATACTTGATGTAGCGGGTGGTCCTCTCCAGGCCCAGGATGCGYGGGGGGAAGAAGGGCTTGCCCTCGTTGCGCAGCAGGGTGATGTAGCCATTCCAGGGGAAGAACCCRAACTGGAAGAGGTATTTCACCACCACCATCACCTGCGGGGACACTGGGGTCAGCGGGTGGCAGCAGGGGACCAGGTGGCACTGTTCCTTCACTGGCCACCCCCTGCCCACCTCGGTGAAGATGATGGCTGTCATCCAGAARCGCTTGGTGGGCCGGGGGATGGAAAGCATGGCCCAGAGGAAGACGAGGATGGGYAGGAAGAGGGAGATCATGGAGCCGGTGACCATGTTGTTGAGGATGATGATGAAGTAGCAGAGCAGCTCGGAGTGGGCGGTCACACAGCGGTACCCAGCCAGCAGCAGCTTCAGGAAGCGGTTGTGGGACTGGTAGAACCGCTCCGACTCCTCCAGCTCGGGGACGTGCGTCTTTCTGTGGGATGAGGAGTGGGATGAGCCTCCCATGCCACTCCTCAGCCCTGTCCCACTGTCCCCACGCCCCGCTGTCCCCACAGCCACCTGTGCACGAAGAGCTCACTGGCAGTCCGCCTGCGCTGCGGGGGCAGTGCCAGGAACTGCTGAGTGTACGCCTCGTCCTCCAGGGAATCCAGGTTTGTCACCGGCTCCTGGCTGATGTCGGGAGGGGCTCTTGGGTACCCRCTGGGGATGACACAAGCACAGGGGTGAGCCCCCTGCCTGCCCACCCCACTGGTGGCACTGCCAGCAGCCCCCTCAGGGGTTTCTATGCACCTGCCTGGAAGCGCCGCTCGGGGAATCCACAACCAAGGAGCTGCGTGAGCTCAGGTCCTGCGGGGAACCCTCTGGYGTCAGCACGTAGAGCTCATCCGGGAACTCGGGGTTTATCTCCTCTCCCTGTGGTGGGCAGGATGTCAGTGCCACCCCGAGGCTGCCACCTGCCGTGCCCTGGTGTGCCCCGGGCTCACCTTGGCCAGCCGCTGTGCCATGATGTACCTCTCCAGGCGCAGGATGCGGGACATGTCCGTGTGCTCCTGGGTGCAGGCGTCCATCCACTGGGTCAGCCCGTCCACCAGGGCCTGGCACAGCAGCCACAGGAACCTCAGYGTGTTCAGAGCCCGCTGTAAGATGTTGCTCCGCTCTGCCAGGGCCAAAGGAGGAGTGGGGAGGTCACTGGGTGCMCACTCAGAGCTCCCAGCACCCGCTGCACTGCAGCCCTGCTGCCCACCTACCGGAACTTTCCGTGTTCTGGTCCTCCTGGCCTTCAGCCCCCTCGGGAGACTCCTCCTCTCTCCCTGCACTGTCCTCTGCAAGGGTCAGACCCCAAGAAGCGATGAACATCATTTCTGGGGCTCTCCCATCCACCACCCCTCTGTCCCACCTTGAAAAYCAGAGTGGGCACCAAAGAAGCTGCACAGCTTGTGCCCAACCCCACTGCAGCCACCAGAGTCCCCACACTGCCCTGCCAGGGCACACAGTGGGCACCAGGAGGGCTGTGTCCCCTCCCAGCCCTATTTGGGGGTGTCACACCCACCTGCAGAGATCTCCGTGCTGGGTGGCTCTGGCTGCTCTGGCCGCTCTGGTCGCTCCGGCCGCTCTGGCCGCACGTGCCGCTGCAGCACCGTCCTGGCGTTGGTCACCCAGGCCTGGTAGGCGAGCTGGAGGGRGACAGGGGCARTCAGCACCCTGGGGACACTGCCAGCCCCTGGCTGCTCTGCAGTCCCCCAGCCCTGCTCACCTGAAAGGCGCTCGGCCTCTCCGACCGCGGCTCCTCCGGCACCTCCTCCTCCTCCTCGCTGTCTGACTCAAAGAGGTAGTATTGCCCCGAACGCAGCACTGCCAGGGGGCACAGGGTGTCACAGCACAGCCRGGGACATGGCAGGGGTCTCACACCCCAGGCTGGCCCCGTTGCCATCTCCCAAGGCTCTGCCTGGCACCAAGGACACCCATGGGGACAAAGCCAACAACACAACTGCCATGTCCCCAAAACAGGCTTTCTCTGGCACCAAGCGTTTGGAGGCGACCGATGTCAGTGACCCCAAACCCACCTTGGCACCCCAGTCCAACACCCCGTTAGTGCTGGGGAGCACAGAAGCCATGGTTAGTGCCCTGTGGCTGAGCCCGGGGACAGGGGACATGYAGGGTGTCACCTGGGCCAAAGCAGTGCCACCAGGGCTCCCGATGGTGTTAGTGGTCATGGCAGGGGTCCATTAAGGCCCCGTGCCAGGCTGTACCTGCGGCGTGGTCTGACCATGGCTGCCACCACTGATCCCTCTGCCGGGCCGYGTCCGCCGGGCTGCCGGGCGCTGTGGGACGGCAAACGGGGCTGAGAATGGCCACGCTCGGGGCATCCCCCCAGCCAGGGGTGCCTCGGGGACAGGGGGATCACCACAAGGCTCCACGGGGCTCCACCAGGACGGGCATTGGCGATGGGGCACGGTCCCATTGGAGAGGGGTTGGGGACACGGGGGGACACCCCAGCTCTCACCTGCTCCGGCCCCGTCCTGCCCTGGGCTGCTGCTGCGGGGCAGCCGCTCCTGGCGGTACTTGTACTGCTTGGCTCGGATCCGCTCCATCCTGCGGGCACAAGAGGCTGCAGAGCCCGCTCCCCCAGACCCCAGGGGTGCCTCAAGGCGCTGATGGCTGCAGGGACGGGGTCCCAGTGCCCCCCCAAACCCACTCACTGCCGCTTCAGCTGGTCCAGCGACTTCTTCTCGGCTCGCCGGTGCGAGCGCAGGCTCTTCATGATGCTGGCCTTGACCAGTGCCACACCCCTGGGGGACAGGGACAGCTGAGGGTCAGCAGGGCCCTGCAGCACCCACAGGGACACTCCAGGACCCCAATCCCACCTGGAAGGCTGCAGGGCAGAGGCCTGGAGGTCCCACATGACATGCAGGTAATAGGAGCTGAGGAAGATACGGCGCTGGAGCAGGAGGAAGAAGAAGCAGATGCTGTCCCAGATGATGCCAGCCGCCTCCACGGGCAGTGTGCAGTCGTGGTCCTTGGCCATCTCCTTGGCTGGCAGGCAGAGGTGCAGGCAGGTCAGGCAGCAGCCCAAACCTGCACCCCGAGCCCCCCGCATCACCCCCAGAGCAGCAACTCACGGTCGTAGTAGCCCTTGACRGTGCAGACGAGGCTGAAGAGCTGGATCACCCAGCAGAAATCACTCTGCATCTGCTGCACGAAGACGCAGGACAGGAGCTGCGGGRAGAGAGGGYACACACAGCTCTGTCACCYGCTGTCCCCTCCCCAGGGCAGCCTGAGGAGCAGCGTGGCGCAGGGCTCACCGACAGCATGTTCTTGGAGATGACGACGGTGACGTTGTAGAGGATGAGGCAGTCCCAGAGCACGAGGCGGGTGCGGGTTGGCTTGCGCAGCATGGCRGTGCCGAACAGCAGCAGGTAGAAGCAGGCCAGCAGGTAGCCCAGGCCGAAGAGGCTGATGCGGTTGGCGCCGGCGATGAAAACCACCACGAGCACGAACCAGAAGAGGTAGCGGAACACCACCACCTTGGCCATGTCCAGGTAGGACCTGCGGGTGGGATGCTCAGGGCAGGGGCCTTGTCCCTTCCCAGTCCCCCCACAGCCCCATGATGGGGGACAAAGGGCTCTGACCCCCCGTCTATGGGATCCCAATAATGGGTGTGTGGGGGTCCAGCACCATCACCATGGGCATCCTGCACCACATCATCTCCTTCCAGAAGAGCCTCAGGGTGTTCCCACTCCAGCCATCATGGGGATCTTAAGGGGCCCCAGGCCCAAAGGGGTCCCAACCCCATCCTAGAGGATCTCAGCCCAGCAGGTCCTACTCCCTGAAGGTCCCATCCTATCCATRCCTCAAGGGGTCCCATCCCAGGGCAGGGAACCCATCTTGCCCATTACCAAAGTTTGGGATTCCAAGGTTGGAATTCCAAGGGTGGGATTCCATCCTGTCTGTACCCCAAGAGACCCCATTCCAGAGGAGTGTCCCATTCACTGCCCACTGGGGATCCCACTCCCACGGCCCCAGCCCGGGTTGGGGTGCTGTAGGGGACACCCACTTGCAGTAGATGAAGTTCTCAGTGCGGCTGTCGGGGTCCTGCTCGCGGTCCAGCCGGTCAGAGTTGTCACCGGCCGCCTGCAGCCAGGGCTCGGAGCGCTCGGCCTTGAACACGCGCCACTGCTGGGATGCGCAGAGCAGCAGCATGAAATCGTCTGTGGGAACACGGCTCAGTCAGGGCCACGGGGCTCCCCGAAATGCTGGTACCCCCCAAACCTCTCCCCAGCATGGGCAGCTCATTCATTCCCTCCAGGCAGGTGTGGCTTCCCCAGACTTCACCTCCTCTTTAACCAAGCTCCCCCCATGGAGTGCGGATCTCCCCAGGCCCCTTCTTCTCCCAAAAGGAGGTGGGACAACCAAGCCCCCCCAAAAAAGGGGTGGGGGTTGCCATGACACCCTTCCAACTGGGTGTGATTAAAGCTCCATCCCCAATGGGGTGGGGCTCTCAAAGCTCCTCCCACCCCTCCTGCCTGTCCTTCCCCCTCCTGGAGGCACAATGGGACCCCACTGATGACTGACGGGGGATGTCCCACAGGTTGTGGCGGGGACAGGGGTTTGAATAGGGTGACAAGGCACCCCATGGGCACAGAGGGACTGGGGACTGCGGTAGGAGCACCGAGCACAGAGTAGGCAGGGGGCAACTCACTGATGAGGTTGGTGGATTTGGGAGCCTGGAAGAAGTCGGGCAGGTAGAGCCACTTGATGATCGCCGAGTTGAGGGGAATRTTGTCGCTCCAGCGCCATGGATAGTCTGAGGGGCAGGGGAGGCACTGTCAGCACCAAGCCCCTCCTCCAGCCCCCTCCCAGGGCAGCAAGGCCAGGTGCCCCCACACCCCTTACCCCTGCAGAGGGCGGGTGGCATGCCCACGCACAGCAGGTACTGGTAGAGGAGGAAGATGACGAGGAAGAGGCAGTACTTGGGCCAGAGGCGGGCGATGGCCGCGCGCCGCCGCCGCGTCAGCATCACCATCAGCCAGCAGCCGTGCAGGATCACCAGGAAGTTCATCCGCTGCCCGATCACGTTCACCATCATCAGGAAACAGATCTGGGGGCACAGGGGGGCGCAGGGCTCAGCACTGGGGCACTGTGAGCGCTGGGACCCTCCCCCCACATGTCCACGCTCCCACCTCCAAGCCAAACTTGTAGTAGAAGTAGTTGATGAAGTATTTGGCGCAGTTGATGAGGCCCTGGTCGAGGTGCTCGCGGGAGATGTCCTCAAAGACCGTCTCGGTGATGGAAGACACCAGCTGGTGCTGCCTGCGGTGGTACTGCTGGCGCCGGTACACCACGGACTCGAACACCAGCAGCAGCAGCACCTGCAGGTGGTTCTGGGRGAAGAGGGCACGCTCAGGACCACGCTGGAGCTCAGAATCCCCCAGGCGGTGCCCGCAGTATCCCCGCACCCACCTGGACGTAGCCCAGGTTGGGGAAGCCCTTGCGGATGCCGAACCAGTTGGCCGGGTCCACGGGGCCGCGGTACAGCGTGGAGTTGGCCAGCTCCTCCGGGGTCAGGTTGGTGCCGTTGGGTAGGGGCTGCAGAGAGGGCACCATGGAGGGTCAGTGCCACCCACACCCCCTCCAGCCAGGGAGCTCCCCAGAGCCATCCCCACGGGCGCACCTGGGTGCAGTTGCTGGAGTACTCGAGGGGATCCACGATCTCCAGCTGGTAGAGCATCTTGCAGACGATGATGATGCAGGTCCAGACGGCGGASAGGCACGAGGCCATGCGGCGGAAGCGGCAGTAGGGCATGGCCAAGGCCCACAGCAGCACCAGCAGGAAGTTCATCACGGACACCTGGGGCAGAGGCAGTGTCAGCACCTCGGGGGGTGTGTCTGAGCCCCCCAACCCTGCACCCCAGCAGTACCTCCTCCAGGGCCACCCAGACGGTGTAGATTGCCACCATCTTGAGGACGTGGAGCTCCAGCAGGCGCCTGATGAACACCTCTGCACGCGTCATCGTGTCCGAGAAGGCGCGGCCCAGCACGATCAGGCGCTCCAGCACCAGCCCCCACTTGTTGGAGTCTGTGGGACACGGACCCTCAGGGATACCCCAACCCATCCCTGTGTCCCCACCTTGCACAGAGAGCAYCCCAGTCCATTCCCACAACCTCCCACACTGGAGAACAACCCAATCCACTCCTGCAGCCTCCAGCCTGTTCCTGGCTCTGATGGGATCCCAACCCATCCCTGTATCCTTACAGACCTGGAGACCCCAATCATGCCCTGCAAACCTCCTGGCTTGGAAGATGCCCAAATCCATCTCCATACCCTCCCACACTGTGATATCAACCCAAATCCATCTCCCTATGCTCCCAGGTCCCTCCTGGCTTTGAGGACACCCCATCCCAGCCTGTCCCCATCCCTGCCCTGTACCCAGGGACTCGGTGTCAGAGTCTCCTCCGGACTGGGCGGTCTCRGCAGCGGCCGCATCCCGCAGCAGGCGGCTCCCGTGAAGCTCCTCAGACCTGTGGGAAGTGGGGCTCAGAGCGGGCACGGGGGGCTCGGGGTGCAGGGGGGTCACCCAGYGCTGGGTCCTACTTGGGGATGTGGCAGGGAGCTGGAGAGGGGGGCCGGATGCGCTGCAGGTCAGTGATGAGCATGAAGGGCTGGTGGAAGTAGTGGAGCTGGAGGATGCAGGCCAGGAGGAAGAATCCCGTGATGAGGATGCTGGAGAAGAGCTTGGAGACGCTGAACTGYTCCAGGCCCAGGTCTCTCAGCCTGGATGGGGAGAGGAGGGTCAGCACAGGGCCCCATCCATTCCACCCCAAACAGGCACCGAGCCCCCAGCCTGGGGCTCACCCCCAACCCGCTCCATGCCTCAGTTTCCCCAACCCAACCCTCAGCCATGCTCTGGTACCACCACAGGGCTGGCACCAGCAGGGACCCCACGGTGGATTGGGGACACTCACTGCTTATCGGTGAGGCCCGTCAGGTTCCTCCAGTACATGGGGAAGTCCTTGAACTGGTAGGTGTAGTTGGCGATGAGCACCATCATGGTGTAGGCCACCACCAGCCACCAAAAGCCCTTGAGCACCTTGCGCCACAGGCTGTAGTACACCTGTGGGGACAGGGACATCAGCAGGGCCACTCTGGGGGTGGCACAGGTCCCCAGGGGCTCTCAGCCTGCCCTACCTGGAAGAGGATGATGCAGAGGAGGAAGAGGAGCATGTAGACGATCTTGTAGACGACGAGGCGGTCGGTGAAGGTAACCACAATGAACATCCCGGCGCAGACGCAGATCCAAAACTTGGCAAAGAAATTCCTCACCACTTCCCCCAGCTTCTTCATCACATCCCGCATCTGGCTGGTGTCTGTGGGGCACGGGGGGCTGCAGGAGCCGGGCAGGGGCACCGGGGTGTCCCCACACCCGTGGGGTGCTCAGTGTGGCACAGCGTGGGTGACACCAGGAGCCCTCACCTGTGTCTGTGACAGACACCTCCAGCAGTGGTGTGACTGGGGACCTCCTCGTTAGCACCTTCTCCTTAACGAACTGCCGCAGCAGCACCCAGAAGGTGAGGGTGAGCAGGAGCTGTGGGGACAGGCGGTGAGCAGGGACAGCCAGGCGCTGGCAGGGACAGCGGGGACAACGCCACACTGACCTTTGCCCCCAGGGCCAGGCAGGGGTACCTGGGGTGCACCAGCCCCAGCGCCTGCAGCCTCATGGAGCCGACGTGGGTGGGCAGCTCGGGGACCAGGTCCATGGCCCACACGTACTGCAGGCTGCACAGGGCCGTGGCGTAGAGCACCAGGAAGGGCGAGCAGAGCATGGCGAAGTTCCTCCGACTCCGCACCGTCCAGATCAGGCACGACCACAGCAGCAGCACGAAGGTCAGCCAGCTGTGGTAGGTGATGCTCCACACCTGCAGGCAGAGAGCATCAGGGCTCAGCCTGTCCCCATGGCTGTGTCCCCTCCCCAGGGCTGTGTCCCCTCCCCAGGGCCCCTCCATGTCCCTTCCCAGCCCCTTACCATCATGGCGATGAGAGCTGACACGTAGCTCTGCTTCATGAGTACATGGCCCAGGGTGTTCAGGGGCAGCCATTCCACTGAACTCCTCCTGCCTGGCGTGGGGAAGGGGCATGTGAGGCACCCCTGGCTGCAGGCAGGGTTTGGGGAGGGGGAGTGTGAGGCACCCCCAGGCTGCAGGCAGGGGAGAGGCTGGGGTCTGGCTTACCTGCATTCATGACGTGGACAGTGCAGTTCTCRGTGCTGCCGCTCGGCTTCACAGTCTTGGGAGGGGACAGCATGGGCTGGGGGCAGAGAGGGCTCAGAGCCCACCCTGGTACCCCCATCCTACACCCATTCCCTGTGCAGACCCCCAAACCCACCTTGGTGTCCTCGGCCATGCGGTCAGTGTCCTGGGGCAAACTCTCCAGCTCCACCAGGTCCCTCGGGAACGGCCGTGCCGGCGCCATGGCTCTCTGTGAGGGGCAGGAGCCAGCTCAGGGCACCCACTGCCACCAGTGGGGAGCAGGATCATGCCCCAGCCCCCTGCCAGGACACCCCCACTGYGGGCACCCCACTGCCCCCACCTCCCCTCTGCACCAGGGTCGGGGCAGTCACAGCCAGGCACACTGGGCATTTATCACCACTGTGACCATTGGGGTCTGCTGCCCCTCACCTTGGCATCCTGCCGGCGCAGCTTCACCAGGGTGGCCACGGTGTAGTAGAGCAGGAGCAGGATGCCAGGGTTGGCATAGACAGGCCAGGAGTAGCTGGTGTTGAGCTCCAGGGTGTTGGGCTGGGAGCAGTTGTGGTACAGGATGATGTCCTTGAARCCGAACACCCTGTGGGGACAGAGGAGGTGGCATTAAACCCCAGCCAGGACCATGAGCCAGGGTCCCACCCTGTTGCTGGCACCAGAGGGATGCTCTGGCAGCCCTCGCCATGGTGGGATCACGGGCAGCCAGGGCACAGCTCCCTCGCCAGGCACTCACCGTGCCCAGATGGTGGGGGGTGGGAAGACCCCCTGGATGAAGGGGGTCTGGTAGGCATAGAGGCACACGAGGTGGCCGGCGCTGTAGACGCCGACGATGATGCAGAGGATGTTGAAGGCGCGGTTGCTGGTGGGGAGGTGACAGGCCCACCACGTGCACAGCCCCACGAAGAGAAAGAAGTAAACACTGGAGGAGGCGGAGGGCAGGGTGATCCCTGGGGAGCAGCACCCCACAGGCGGTCAGTGCGTGGCCTGGCAGCCCCCTGGACTGACTGCATTGAGAGCACCCCATTCCACTAAAAGCACCCCATTCCACTAAAAGCACCCCATTCCACTGAGAGCACCCCATTGCACCCAGCATCCCTCCCTGGAGCAAGAACCCCTTCCCCTTGGACCAAGTTTTCCCCCTTGGACCAAGTTTTCCCCCTTGGACCAAGCATCTCCTCCCTCAGCTTTCCCCCCTCGGACCCAAAATCCTTCCTCCTCAGACCAAGCATCACTCCTTCTTGGAACATGCATCCTCCCTCCTTGGATGAGCATCCCCTCCTTCCCAGAGCAAGCATCTCTTCCTCCACAGACCAAGCATTTGACCCTTGGAGTGAGCAGCTCTCCCCCTGGACTGAGATCTCCCCCTTGGATTGAACATTCTCCCCCGCCTTAGTCCAACCATCCCCTTCCTGGACTGTTTTCCCCTCTGGCCCAAGTATCCCTCCCTCCTTGGGTTGAGCTTTCCCCCTCGGATGGAACACTCTCCCCCACAGACCAAGCATGCTTTTCCTGGGACTGAGCATCCCAACCCCCTGGATTGAGTGCCCCCACTTTGGACCAAGCATTCCCCCCAGCTCACCCCGTGCCCCCACACCCCGTGCCCACCTGCCAAGGCCAGCAGCAGGACGGCCAGTCCCTTCCCAGCCTCCCAGAGCAGCCAGTGAGCCTTGTCCCACAGGCGGCTGCTCAGCGGCACGTCCCTGTTGGCCGCACGGCGGTGCCGCCCCGCATCCTTCTCTTCCCTCTGCCAGGCAAATTCAGGGCGATGTGAGCTCCCTGACCCGACCCAGGGCAGCTCCTGGCCGTGCCTCAGTTTCCCCACTCTGGGGAGGGCAGGGCTGGCTGGCCAGGCAGGCACAGTGCCCGGCACCTGGCCGTGTTTATCTCATCAGCCGCCTGCAAAGCGCCTCCAAAGGGCGGCTGTTTTTCTTGGCACCGGGGGCCGGGTTCCCAGCACTGAGCTTTTTTCCAGGCTGCTCCTGCACCGGCCCTGGGCTCACAGCAAAGGCATCCGTGCCGGCCACTGCTCCGGTTACAGCCCAGCACGGCCAGAGCCTGGCACTGCAGCCTGGGGTACCAGGGAGCCCCCAAAGCGGGGCTGGGAGTGCCACTGGGGCTGTGTCTGCCTGGGTGACCCTGGTGCCTCGGGTGCAGTGTCCCCCTGACCTGCTGGCAGTGCCAGGCACGGCACCAGCCCTGCAGTATCACACTCCAGCTGGGGGCCAGCACCCCATAAGTGCTCACCCCACTGTGCCACGGGATCCCTGCGGCAATGCTGGAGCAAACATGGGCACTCCTCCACAGCTGCAGCACCCCAGGCTGGGTGACAATGACCGAGCCCTCCACCCTGGCCAAAACTGCCCCAAACTGGGTCCCAACCATRGATGTCCCCATGCCAAAATTCTGTGTCCCAGGCTGTGCCCAGAGAAGGGACAGGGACAAGTTGGAGGAGACCTGGTGGGATGTGGATGGTGGGATGTCCCCATGGCACCGGGGGTGGCTCTCACCCGCTCAGAGGGCTCCTGGGAGCTGGGATTCCGTCTGTGGGCGGCAGGGCCGAGGCGGCAGCACGTGCACAAGGACAGGGACGAGACCAGCAGGATGCCAACGTCGGGCGCCAAGAGCCGCACCGAGTTGGGAATGTCRCTCAAGTCCAGCCTGGGGGGAGAGCGGGGCAGGGGAGGGCTCAGGGGTGACCCCCAGCCACTGCCAGCCCCCAGCCCCACAGCACCAGGGTGTCCTTACCTGGTGACCCCAACGTGCCGAGAAAGGACCTCCCAGGAGCTGCCTGTGGGACAAAGGGGGCACTGAGTGGGGCAGACCCCATGTGGGCAGGCTCCGAGCACCCCCCACCATGGGGAGAACAATCCCAACTGTGGGAGCACATGATGGCCTCTGTGCCCAGTGCAGTGGGCACCCAGCAGACACCCTGGCATGGCATAGATGTCCCCAGAGCTGGCACCTGGCTGGGACCCTGCTGGGAGCCTCAGCATTCCCCCAGCATCAGCAGGATGGGTCCCACACGTCACCAGCTTGAGGGCACAGCTCCAGGGCCCAATAAGATGTGGGTGGGTGAAGGTGGGCACGGGGACCCCCTACTCACAGCTGGGCCCCAGCAGCTGGTCCAGGACGGGCAGCGTGCGCAGGCATATCTGGAACACCAAGTGGGTGAGCACGAAGATGATGCTGGTCCCCAGCAGAGCCTTGAGGATGCGGCTGCTGTGACCTGTGAGACACAGACACCCTGTCAGCCAGCACCCAAGGACACCAGTGTCCTCAGCAGGGACCCAACACCCTCAGGAAGGCTGCATTGTGCCCAGAGATTCCAGGGATTGGCCCCTGGGGTCCCGCCACGGCTTTGCCCACCTCACTGCGTGCCCAGCACAGCCCAGGGACACCCCCGGAGCCAATGCCCAGGACAATCCTCTGTCCTTTCCCCCCTGGACAGGGACCACACCGGGGTGCAGTCAACATCCCCATTCCTGCTGGAACATCCTGTGGGAGGGCTCCAGGGGGTTCTCCTGCTCCAAACCCCGTCAGCTCTTCCACCAGCTGCCATGCCCCCATCCCACCCGGCTCTCCGGGCCCCGTGCCCGTTTTCCGGGCCAGGGGGTGGGGTGGGCAGCGGGCCCAACACAGCTGTGAGCAGCCTGGGGGCGGCCCCGGGCCAACAGCTTTCCTTCCACTTGTTTTTTCCTGTAAATCCACACGAAGGCTCTCGGTAGCGCCGGGATCCGGGGCCGTGCGAGCCCATGAAATATTCAGAGGTAAAGCTTTTAGCTGTGGCCATGCCAGGCGCTGGGGGCTGGGGTCAGAGCCTGGCACAGGGGGGCTACAGCACCCCATACCCACCTGCCCAGTGTGGGTRACCCCCTGCGGCCACCGCGACGCCCCAGTGCCCCGGACAGGATGGAGGGGCCGCTCGTGGTGTGCCCACACAGCCCAGCCCTGAGGTTTTTGGTTAATAAGGCTCCAAACTGACCACTTTGGAGCAGGAGGGCTATTAATAGCCACACTGGGCTATAATTAACAGACAGAGGCTCCACATGGAGCCACACTGCCCAGCCGGGGTAAAACCGCAGCGAAGGTGCCCGCAGGAGGGGGTGGCAGCCCCCTCTGCCCACCCCACCTGTGCCACCCCTGCAGCCCCCTCTGCCCACCCCGCCTGTGCCACCCCTGCAGCCCCCTCTGCCCACCCCACCTGTGCCACCCCTGCAGCCCCAGGTGTGTCCCTTACCTGTGGTGACGCGTGCGGAGGGCCCCGGGAACCAGGGCAGGAGCAGCAGGAAGAGCAGATACACGAAGGACAGGACGTTGTAGCGGAAAAGGCAGGCTGGGGGCAGAGGGACAGGGTCAGTGACAGCGATGGGGTACCCGGAGGGATCACAGCTGCACCCCCTCACCCTGGGGATCCCCAAAAGAGAATGCCAGGTGGTGCTGGGGTCATGCCAGATAGGAAGGGGGTCAGGCCCCCCAGAAACACCATCAGAAAGAGGGACCCAGGCAGGACCCCAGGCTGAGCCACTCCTGGTGACCCACATGGGTGACACAAAGAGGGGACACTAGAGGTGCCAGACACGTGGGGTGACAAGAGAAAGAGGAGCCATGAGAAAAATCTGCTGCAATTCCACATCATTCCCACAAAACCACGCTGAGGATTGAAGGGACCCCCATGGCCAGGCTGAGACCCTCACCCGTGACCCRCCGGGCCTGGCACAGCACCTGTCCCCARCCCTGCTCTGGGTGTGCCACCAGCTCAGCACCTTCCCCCACACTTATTTTTAGACCTAAATTACAGTTTGTTTGGAGGCATGAAACCGTCGGCGGAGCCTGGACGAGCCAGCGCGCTGCAGAGCTGCCACTGATGGGGACAGGGACGGGGACAGAGACAGGGGACAGCACGGTGGGGACGTGGCGGGGCAGCTGCCACCCCGGCTGGGGACGCAGCGTTCCTGTCAGCACATTCCCGGTGACAGACACCGGCACATGCACCGGCAGGAGCTGGGAGCATCCCCAGGGCAGCCYGGAGGCCACGGGGATGGGCAGCACCAGGGAGACAGCCCTGAACCAGCGCCTGGCTGGAGATGGGGGATGAGCTCTGTCACTGTGCCCTGCTCCTGGCACTGCCTGGACATCCCTACGTCCCCTCTGCTGCAAACCAGAGGGACACATCCTACTAGCAGCAGGACAGCCACARGGCACCGCTGCTGGGGACCCCAGCTCTGCGTGGCCAGGGCAGGGAGAGCTCCCCTCGGCACCCTACAGGGGAAAGGGGTGAGACAGGGGGCTCAGAGGGCAGCCCTGACCCCATGGGATGGCGGGGGAGAGGGGGCCCCGGCCGGGCGCCAGGGACGTGCTCAGCACCGCAGCCTCGGCACGGCCCTTCCTGTGTTTACGAGGTTTTAATGGGACAACACATCCTGGAGYGAGGGACAGCACAGCAGGGAGGGGACACGGCACAACTCCGGGGACAGCAGGGCACCCTCGGAGGGTGTGGAGGCAGCAGGAGGGAGCACCCAGGAACGCGCATGGGACGCATCCCACACCGGGGTTAACACCAGCTCCAGCCCCGCAGCGGGGTCCCCAGTGTCCCCAAGCCCGGGAAGCACAGCCCGGCCCCGAGCTGGGGTGGGGGGCACGGGGAACCCGGCGTGGGAGCCCCAGGAGCGGCAGCAGCAGCCACCTCCCGCGGTGACCCCGGGCGCGTCACCTCCCGCACGCCTGCCCAGGGCTCCTGGCTGTTTCGGCAAACCATGATCTCATGGTGCAAATATTCCCCGTCCCGCGCCAACGGCGACGCGGCCGAGAGAGAGGAGCCTTCCCGGCACGGCACGGGGGCGAGACACGGCTCCGGCTTCCGTGGGAGCAGGCAGGGCCCCTCGGCCACTGGCACCCAACCATGCCACTGCCCAGCCTGGGGGGAACCAACCCCACCCTGAACCCCTGTGGCACCGGCCACAGCCACATGGTGGTGGCACCGAGGGCACATGGAGCGCTGGTGGCACCGCCGGGAGCTCTGGTGAGAACAGGGATTGTTCTCAGGYATGGCTGGGCACTGGGGGCACGCAAATGCTGACCCCATTATTGGGTGCCACCAGCACCCCCAGGACCCTCTGGCTGGCGGCTCACCCTCCAGCCCTCAGRCATCACCAGGAAACTCTCAGCACTGCTCCATGGCTTCAATCAGGGATCAAGAATGAAAAAGGAAAGAAGGTAGTGACAGCCTGGTTTGGGAGCACCCTCGGAGCCCKGCTTGGCACCCACCCGGCTGCACCGGGGCGTGCCGTGCCGGCGAGTGTGGGTGCTCCGTCCTGCACAGTCGGAGGGAACCGGTTCCCCGCAGTGCTGACAGCGGGGAAAGTGCTGGAGCGGGGAGAAAAACCAGTTTGGCGTGTAGGGAGAGCAAACCCGCCCTCCCGCACCCACCGAGCAGCCGGCCGGGTGGGTGGGAGCAGCACTGGRGCACCCACGGCCCCCTCCCCACACCAGCAGTGCCCTCGCCCACGACACCCTKGGGTCCCTCTGAGCACCCACCTCATTCCCTAAGTCACGTATCCTGGTCGGCGCCCCGAATTGCCGCTTCCCCAGCCCCGTGACCCCGGGAGCAGCCACAGCAGCTCCCACGCTGCCGGCAGTTCACCGCCACCGCAGCCGGCGGCACGTGAAATATTAACGACAGGAACGAGCCGGGAGGAGGATGAATTGCAGCACTGGGGARCTGGGCGGGATGTGCCGGGGTTCCTCCGTGCCAGCCTTAATTGAAATTGCCCGTGGGAGGGGAATGGGGTCACTGGGCACCACCAGCCGGGAGGAGTCTGCATCAGGGTTTTTTCAGTGCACTGGGATGGGAAGAGGTGCTGTGGGAGAGGGTTGGGGTCTGACAGAGCCCCTCTGCAAACCAGGCACCATTTCACACCCAGATAGCTTCCAGGATGGATCCATTCCCAACTGCACGGGGAAAGGGAGCTCCCCAGGCCCCCCGGAGCCGGGGCAGCCCCACACACCAGCCCTGCACCATCACTCAGAGTCCACACCATGCTCAGCCCGGTGCGGCCGCTGCCCTGCGGGGACTTAATTAGCAGAGCTCTTTAATTACCTGCCCTGCTCACTCACACGGGCCTGTTACCTGCGGCCAGAGCCAGGCAGCTCTGCCACACTGCCCCAAGTTCACCAGCCCCMGCTGGGGCCCCCAGGGACCCTGACAGGGTCCCCAAGGTATCACTTTACTCCCAGGACTCTGGACTCTGCACTCGCTGGCTGCAAACCAGAGGCAGGGTGATGATCCCAAAATCCCATCAGTGTGGCTCTCCCTATCCCAAAATCCCCTMAGTCCCAAAGCAACGAGTCCTGGGGCGAGCAGAGCCAGCCACCAGCACATTCCCAGCCCCGGCCCCAGCTCCTCTTTCCAGGAAAGAACAGCCCCACCGGTTCACCCACCATATCCTGTTTTTGTGGAAAGTTCATCCCAATCCCGCCAGCTCCCGACCCTGCTCCCTGCGAATGCCGCAGGAGATGCCCCAGGAGGGCTCTGGGCCGGGTGCCAGTGGGTGCCASGGCTGCCAGCCTGGGAAATCCCAGCATCAGCCAGGAGCTCGTGCCACGGGACAGGGAATGCAGTGGCTTGGGGGACAAGTGTCAGGGGACARCCCTTTCCCTGGCACACGCCAGGATGGCACAGCCCATGCCACAGGGCTCCCAGAGCTGCAGTTCAGCACTGGGACATGTGAGGACCCACATTCCCAGACCCACCAATATTCCCAGCGGGGCCGTGACYGTGGCTGCCATATGGCAGCACCAGGCAGTGCCCAAACCCTGGTCTCCTCAGCCAACGGGACTCACTGCACCCCTGGGGAGCCCCCCATGGTGTTCCCCTCTTTGGGGGCTCAGTCATGGGGACACAGGCACCCAGGCCCTGCATCTCCATCCCATCCCATCCCATCCCATCCCATCCCATCCCATCCCATCCCATCCCCTCCCCCTGCACCCAGGAGGAAGCGATAGTTATTGCTCTTGGAGACAGCGGTGGCTTTGCTTTTTTTTTTTCTTTATAGGTTTTTTTCCTTCTCTATTTTATTTCCCTTGGTGTTATAAAAAGCACCTGACCACAGGAGGCAGCTGCTGCAGCCCACGCTGGCAYCCAGCTGTGCTCCAGCCCTGCGGGCCCCAGAGACCCCCCAGCACCTTGGCCAGGTAAGGGCAGCTGTGTCCCCACATCAGGGGGCTTGGGGGCACCCCAGCCTCACAGAGGGGGTGCCACCCTCACCCGAGCACTACAGAGTGTGCCCAAGCACTACAGAGCACAGATCAGTGTGGCCATGACTGCCTCTGGGGGTGCCCAGTCCCCCCTGTGTGGGATATGCTGTGCCCCCCACAGCRGCTCCAGGCACCCCAAATCCCATCATGAAGGACGGAGCCAAGGTGGGGACACAGCCCATGGCACGGCTGGGACCCTCCCATGGGTCTGCCTTGTGCCAGCCCTGGGAAGCCGGGGGGCTGCCGTGGGAAGCGGGAGCCACCCCGAGCCACGCCGTGGGGCCCAAGTGCTGCGCCTCCACTCGCCCTGAGCTGGCCAGGAGCCCCGAGCAAACATCCTCCGGACGTTTGGGAAGAGCCTTATTGCCAGGGAAGGAAGGGCCGCAGGCGGGTCGTGCTCCGGGGCAATTCCTCCCACCCAGGTGCAGAGAGAGGCAAGAGCCACATCTCCCTGTACCTCAGTTTCCCTTGGGCCCTGCTGAGTCACCCCCTCTCGCCAATCAGCTGGAGCAGGACCGAGTCCCCGCCCAAGTGGGGCCCCAAATTTAAACAAGCCACCCACAAGCTCACCAGGGGGGACACCAAGGTCACCAGTGTCCCCAGATTTGGGGTACCGGGGTTCCCCAGCATGCCCCGTACCAGTGCAGGGTGAAGAGCCAAACAAGCCTGGCACGATTTGGGGCCAAATCAGCATTATTTGGAGCATGGGGGCCCCACGGGAGGCTGTGCCCAGAGGCCACGTGTTGTCCCAGACACCCTTGGGCTGCACCCAGCAGCTCCCAGTGCACTGGCCCGGCCGCTGCACCCCCTGTCCGGGGAGCACAGCCCCTTCTYCCAGCCCCACTCGTGGGCTGGGTTATAATTAACCTCCTCACATCCTGCACGATGCTCTGAGTCACTGCCCCAGCAAACCAAAGAAAAAGCAGCTTTTTCAAGAGTCACRGACTTCCTGTGCCAGCGGCACGGCCAGCACCCCAAAGCCCAACCCTGGTCCCCAAAACACAGCTGGGAACGGGGCTGCTCGGATGCACCTTCCTCGGCTGGGCGCACTTCCCTCTCTCCAGGTGACACTATCTCAAAAGTCATTCTAGGGCTACCCCAAAAGCCACGCCAGGGTTTCCCGCGGTGTTCAGGCCCTCCAGCACGGGCAGTGTGAGCCCGACGGTGGCGGCAAACAGATCCAGCCCGTGCCCGGCACAAGGAGCCCCTTGAACAATCCTGTTTATAGAGAGGTTTTTCCTTTGCGTCTACGCAAACGCAGCGTCCCCGAAGAGGCTCCGGAGCAGCCGGGCTTCAAAGAGCCGATTCTTGTCCTGCGCGTCCCGGGACACGGGGATTTTCCAGGCCGGTGGCCAGCCGGTTGCCTCGGTGGGTGGCACATCTGCCATCAAAGGCCGACAGTGCTCGGAATGGGCTGGTGGCAGCTCTGGGGACCACAGAGCCATAGGGGCTGGGGTGGGCGCTCTGCTTCCCGGGATCCACCCGGGCACGGAGACGGGATCGGCGCCAGCTGCCCGCCGGACATCGCCCACCCCGGCCCCCAGCACCCGCCTCACCCTCACCCTGCACCCACCGCAGAGCGAGCGCGGTGACACGGCTGCGACCAAACTGGGTCACCTGCACCCCAACAGCCCGCGGGTGTCGGGGGAACAGGGRGGACACGCACACAGCCCCCGCCCTGGAGGAAGTCGTAGCGTTAGCCGCGGGTGAGCTCGGTCACGGGTGGAGAGGGGCGGCATTGAGAATGACCCCCGCGGGGGGACCGCACCACCGCCCGTCCCGGCACCGACCCCCTCCCGGAGCCACCGGCGGCTCCTCCCRGCGCGGGGATCCCACCCGCGGTTCCTGGACGCAGGGATCCACTCGCCTATGGCTTCACGGCGCTTCCCGCGCCCCCCGCTCCACGTGCTGGGGAAAAGCCCCGCGTCCCGCAGCCACCGGCGAGCGACAGCGCCGCCAGGGCAGCCCCGGGGACACGCGTGGGGAGGCCCCGAGCCACCGGCTCGACGGGCGGGCGACCCACCCGGTTCGCCTTTGCGGGATCCCCGCGCCGCCCGCCCCGCGCGCGGGAAGAACTCCCGCGCCACCCGCTCCGCGCCCGCGRGGACCCGGCCACCCCACGCGTGGGGACCCGCGCCCCGCACTCACCGGCGAGCAGGGCGAGCGGCAGCAGCAGCCAGTAGAGCCCGGCGCAGAGCCGCCGCCGGTTCATCCCGCCCGGCGGCTGCGGCGGGGGGGGGGGCCGGCCCGAGCCGCTCCGAGCCGTTCCGCCCCGCCGGGGCTGGGCAGGCCCCGCTGCCCGGTGCCACTGCCCGGTCCCGCGGCGCTCCGAGGCGCTGCCCCCGCCCCGCGCCCGCTGCTTTATAAAGCGGCACCGCCCGCCCCCCCCGCGGGGCCGGCGCGGCYCCAGCGCCGCCCGCCGGCACCGCGCCCGTCGCTGCTGACACGAGTTGTCCGGGCTCAGCGCGGGCCCGGGTTCCGCTTTTTGCGGTCGGGGAAAAAAGATCTACTTTAAAAAAAAAAAGGCAGAAAGATAAGCTAATGTGTTTCCTGTTTGTTTCGTTCAAAAATGAAATRAAGAAGCTGGAGCTAATTTTTGCCGAATTTTTGGTTTTTATATTAGGGCTGAGAGCTGCTGTATGGAGTGGGGAGCTCAGGAGTGCTCTGCTGGGGGCTGATGTGCAGCCCTGGAGCTGTGTGCCATGTCCCTGGTGCTGAGAGAATGATCCCATGTTCTTGGAGCTGGGTCCATGATCTATATCCCTGAGCTCAGTGCCGGCAGCAGAGCCAGATGCAGCTCGACACCCCCATGGAATTGGGAGCCCAGGGGAGAGGAGTTGGGGTCACATCTGGAACCGGGAGCTGTGCTCACCATCCCATCCCACCCCAAATCCCGGTGGCAAGGCGCCAGGCACAGCTGGTGGCATGGGCAGCGTGGCCGGTGACACCTGGCAGTGCTGGTAACAACCAGCCTCTAACAGGAACCATCAACCCATGAAATTCTGCACATTCCTTGGCTTCCCTGCACTTGTTTTCCCAGCTTGGTTAATAAACTGGCATCCAGCTGGCACACTGCYGGACTGCTCCCCACTCTCTTCCCTGAGCTCCCTCCAGAATTCCAGGGGCTCTTCTCCACACCCCAAACATGTGCAAGCCCAGCCATCCAGGCATCTCCTGCTCACACCGTAACTCCCAATCCAGGATGGATCTTATGGCTCCCAAAAATGTGTATCTATGGATTTGGCAGGCACAGCCCCTCCTGGGAGCATCCTCATCACAGGGACTCGCTGCATCCACACTCATCACTGTGATCCAAAGGGATCTGCTCATGTAAATTAAACACTTGTCATCACAAAGACATGAAGTCCCGCATTAACACCATGCATATGAGACCCAGATACTGGAATTACCTCCCTCAAACCCTGGCTGCACCCTCCAGCTAGCAGGGATCAGGAAAGGGTGGTGCAGGCACCCACACCAGCCTCCTGCTCACAAGCCAGCCCTGAGCACCCACAGCCAGGCCGGGAATGGAGGCTGTGGAAGCAAATGGGCACCGGGAATGGCACCCCAGAGYCCTGCCCTGCACAGCTGAATCCGGCCCCACTCCACTTTGCCGGCTTCACTCAGGTTTTACGAGGGATGTGGGAGACCCGTGAGGCTCTATAATGAACTGCGGGCACGGCCTGAGTGCCTGGGCTGGCARTGATGGGCCAGAGGCTGCTCCCAGCTGCGGGCACTGCCAACAGCACAAGGCCACGGTGTGGGGCAGGGAATGCCAGGGCAAGGGGATGCTGTCCGTGCCTCTGCAGCCCCTCATTCCCATGGCTAGTCCCTAGAAAGGATTCCATGCCACCATGGAGCTCTTGATGGAAATCGGGCAGGGCTTGGTCCCCACCTGCATTGGAGAGAGCAGATGAAAGGGATGGCCACCAGCACCATCCCAGATGTCATTTTCCTATTTTTTTCCCTGCTTAACCCCCACTCTCCCCCTGCTGATGGTTCCTCCAGAACCAGCCAGAGTGGGCATACTCCATCCCTGCCCAAGGGGCATTAGCTGGTCCTTGACCCAGGAATGCTGGACCTCCTYTCTCTCGGAGCTGTCCCAGCCCCCCTGGCGCTGTCCTGGACCCCCCGGGTCCCCAAATGCGGCACCGCTCTGAGGGACGCGGCGCCTTTAAGAACCGAGTGGCGCCAACTCCRTCTCACGTGACCTCTCCCCGCCTCCAGGGGGCGGGGCCCCGATTCGCGGGCTCCCGCCAAGAGAGAAGCGCGCGGGACCAAACCCACGTGTCACCGGGACCGGCACCGGGATCAGAACCGGGACCGGGACCAGGACCAGGAYCGGCATCGGGACCGCGGCCATGGCTCAGCTTCGCCTCACCGACTTTTTCGGCCAAACGAAAGCGACCACCGGAGCCCCGTCCAAGCGCAGCGGCGGCCGCCAGCTCAAGGCCGCCCTTCCCGGTCCCCCGSTGCACCGGGAGGAGGAGGAGAATGGTGCCCCGGCGGGGCTCATCGCCCGCTCGCCGCCGCTGCCCGGCTCACTGCGCACCCCGGCCCGCGGGGTCTCCCCGGCCCTGCGGGGCCTGGCGGGCAGGAAGCGGAGCCGCCGGGAGATGGAAGCGGAGTCGCCGGTCGGGGCCCGGCTCGGGGAACCGAGCGGGAAGTCGGCGCGGAAGAAGCTGGAGATGCCCCGGGATTCGGAGCCGGGGTCTCCGGGAGCGGTAGGGAGATCTTGGGGTCGGAGATGCGCCGCTTCCTCTGGGCTGCGCTTTGAAATGGAATAGGGGAGGATGAGGGGTGGGGGGTGAATTGCTGGGTGTGGAACCATAAAACAACAGCCTCTGCAAGTGTCCCACCCGTTTTCCTAGTGCAGGACCTCCAGAACTTGCCCCCTTCACCTTCTCTCCCAGTCGTGCTTACCCCCTGCCCCTAACGCAGACGCTGCTATGGCTCCCTCTCTCAGTGCGAGGCTTTGGGGGGCACAGGGGAAGGGATCYGGGCCGGTGGGTTCCTTGGACAGTCCCTAACTCTCCTTTCTTTTGCAGGCCACCAGCTCCTCGCCTCTGGCCACTCCTCGACCCCCGACATCCCTCTCAAGGGACCTTCCAGTGTCCTCCCACGCCACCAGAACCGGGTCCCTCAGCCGTGGGCAGGACACGGGGACACAGCCAGGCACAGCCACCACGGGGACAGCCAGGCGCCTGCAGCGGGTACGAGCTGATTCTGGCTCCCTTCTCCCGGTGGGGATTTGGTGCTGCGTGTCCCCCTCTGACCCTGTGTCCCCTCACTGCCCAGGAGGACGTGGCCAAACTGCAGGAGCGCCTGCAGAGGATGAAGGTGCTGGGCCAGGTTCCGTCCATCCCCAGCGGGACCAGCACTGAGCTGCAGAGCCGCCTGGAGCGCGTGCGGCAGCTGGAGCAGCGGGTCCGGCAGAGGAGAGCGGAGAGTGAAGCCACAGCGGGAGCACGGCCATGCGGGGACACCGGGGCGGCCACTCCTGCAGGAGASACCGGGTGAGGRGCAGCTGCAGGAGGGGTTTGGGGGRTCCCAGCAGCTGCCACAGCCCTGCAGTGGTTTTGTGGGGGTCTTCCCACCCTGTGAGGGGGTATGGGGACTTGAAGCATTGAGACACCAACATACCCAGGTGATGTGACCCCGATACCTACTCATGGAAAGAGTTTGGGGTGGGCACACAGCTCCTGGCCAGTGTCCATCCCAGGAGTTCTCTGACCCCATCCTTTCCTGCAGTGAGAAGCCCCCGGCATACCAGCGCTTCCACACCCTGGCCCAGGACCTGCCCCCAGGACTCACACTGCCCTACAAGTTCAGGGTGCTGGCAGAGATGTTCCGCAGCGTGGACACCATCACCGGGATGCTCTTCAACCGCTCAGAAACTGTCACCTTTGCCAAGGTCAAGCAGGGTGTGCAGGACATGATGCGCAGGTGAGTCGGCTGCTGTGGGTGGCCCGTTTTGGGGTCCCAGCTGAGGCTGTTGGGGCTGTGACACTGGGTGTCCCCAACCTCTCTGGTGCTKTCACAGGCAGTTTGAGGAGCGGCATTTGGGGCAGATCAAGGCYGTGTATCCCAGCTCGTATCGCCTGCGCCAGGAGAAAAACGTCCCCACCTTCGGCAGCGCTGGGAAAAAGTCTGAGTACCAGCTCACACTGGAGCCAGTGCTGGAGGAAGGTATGGAGGGTTTTGGGGTGCCCAGGAGCTGTGGTAGACTCAGTCCTGGCTGATCCCTGAATCCACAGGGTTGCTCTTTGCTTGGTCCATGAAATGGAGCCTGAGCATGCTGGAAGTGGTGGGGCAGAGACTCTGGCCATGACTCAGCCCCATGGCAGGGCTCTGATCCCATCCTTCCCRAGGCTCCCGTGATTTGGGCCCCTCCGGGGCACTGTGGGTGACATTTGTGTCCCTCCTTGCAGAGGAGAAGGTGGATGGGCGCCCGCACCTGTCGGCATCACGCCTGCTGGAGCGCCGCAGGGAGTTCCACCGCAGCCTGGTGAACATCGTCAGGCAGCACCACAGGGTGAGGGACACCTGGCACCCACTCTGGGGGTCTCACGAGGAGCAGGGTGCCATCCAGGCTGAGGGACACAGTGGTTCTTCTTGGAGATGGCTCTGAATTTGCTCCCTGTGTCACCAAGCTGTTCTGGGAGCRCAGGGCAATGGCTGCCTCCCCCATTCCCTATGCCTGACACAGCTCTTGCCCTGCTCCAGGCATTCCTGGCTGCCCTCACGCCTCCCATGGAGGTGCCAGAGGAGGAGCTGACCCGGTGGCATCCCCGCTTCAACGTGGACGAGGTGCCAGACATCAGCCCCGCGGAGCTGCCGCRGCCGCCGCAGGAGGACAGGCTGAGCACGGCGCAGGAGGTGCTGAGCACGGCCCGGGGGCTGCTGAGCCCCAAGGTGAGGCAGGGTTGGGGGCTTGGAGCAGCCTGGGACAGTGGAAGGTGTCCCTATGCATGGCAGGGKACTGCAGATGAGAAGAGCTTTCCATCTGTTTCTTCTTCTGTGGTTCCACGAAGCCCAAACTGCTGCRTGCAGGCAGGAGGGGTTGGGAGCACTGGGCTGGGATCACTGGGCTGCCGGGTGACAGCGGGGGCGGCACAGGGGAAACTTCTCCTCCTTCCTGCAGCCTGAACCGTAACCCAACTCCTCCTCCTTCTTCCACATGAGCAGATGGAAAAAGCTCTTGCCAACCTGGCCTTAAGAACAGCCGAAGCCGGCGCGGAGGAGCCAGCGCTTTCCAAAGCCCCATCTCCTGCCAGCACCCCCAGCGCGCTCAAAGGGGTGCCCCAGGGGCTGCTTGACAGRGTGAGTCACCCTGTCCTGGCTGCAGCAGGGGCTGGGGGTGCTCTGTGTACCCACCCCAACCCCTCAGGGCCTGAGGGTGCTCCCTGCACTCACCCTATCCCTCTGGACCTGATGATGCTCTCTGCGCTCACCCCATCCCCTCAGGGCCTGGACACTCCCTGTGCCCACCCCATCCCCTCAGGCTGGCCAGGGGCCCTATACCCACCCCATACCCTCACGACATCCTCTCAGGGTGTGAGGGTGCTCCCTGTGCCCACCTCATCCCCTTGGGCTGATCAGGGGCCCTATGCCCACAATATCCTCTCAGGGTGTGAGGGCGCTCCCTGTGCCCACCCCATCCCCTCACGCCATCCCCTCAGAGCCTGGGTGCTCCCTGTGCCCATCCCATCCCCTCACGCCATCCCCTCAGGGTGTGAGTGTGCTCCCTGCTCTCACCCCATCCCCTCACCCCATCCCCTCACAGGGTCTGAGTGCCCTCCCCACACTCACCCCGTCCCTGGTGCCCCTCAGGTGCGGGCGAAGGAGGCTCAGCGGCTGCGGGCGCTGCTGACTCGGGACGCGCAGCAGGAGGAGCGGGCGGCGCGGCTGGCCCGGTTGCCGGCCATGGCGCGCGTCCTGCGCAGCGTCTTCGTGGCCGAGAAGAAGGCAGCGCTCAGCATGGAGCTGCTCTGCGCCCGCCTGACCGACAGCTGCCCTCAGCTTGTGGCGCCTGGTAGGAATGGGGGGCTCTGTGAGAAGAGGGGGCTGTGGGGAGCCAGGGGCTG